GGCGCGTCGCTGTGACGTAATCGGTCTACAAATGCGGCCTCAGGAGGAAGCAGCCCATGAATTTGGACACGACCAATGACTAGGTGGTTAGCTTACCATCAGTACAACGTCAGCCATTTATACATTACAATAGATGGTTAGCTTAGCATTAATAATCATTCTTTCTGCTGCTCCTCTCAGGGCTCGCCGTAGCAGATTGCCTACCTCCATCTTTCCCGAGCATCCTTCATGTTAAACCAGCATGGCTGGGCATCGTCACTGATTTCTATAACTGATTCGATTCAAACCCAGATTCTGTTTCATTCATTATTTCAGTCATTTTTTGACTCAGACAGTCAGAAATACTATAATTATGATCATTTATCAATACACTGGAAGCAAAACTGCAAAATAAGAGGGACTTCATGACAATGTTCTTCAAACGTAGCGTAGTTTTGATCTTCTTTTGCTGCTGGATCAGTGAATTTTGGACAGAGAGTGACGAAACCTGCAGCTTCACAATCTGTGAGACACCGCCTTTGGGCGGCGTGTCCACATATGGGTGGGTGGATGGCGGGTGAACGGGGGGAATCTGCGCTTTGTGCTTTACACCTTTTCCCGTTTACCTGCTCTTTAGTCATTTGCATTTTTAACTGTTTGGTGGATGTTTAAATTGTTTTGAGAAGCTTTAACTTGAGATTCTGGCGTTTCTGGCAAAATGCATTTATATTTAAAAATTGATTCAGGATTTAATGAATCGATATCGCTTTAGTGAAACTAAATTCGATTTGAATCGGGAAGTCCATTTAATTATTACACTTATGTTTTAGGTGACACATGTTTTTATATAAGAGAAAGAAATGCAGTTTTTAAATAATTTCATTTGTTAAAGGTAAAATCTTTTAAAAACATATCCAAACCTGCCCCTAAATCTAATAATAGGTTGTACCACCTTTGGCTGCAGCATTTGTGATAATTAGCAATGAGACTTTTTTTACACGGCTGTGGAGGAATTTTGTCCCACTCTTTTTTATAGAGCTGTTTTAATTCAGCTACACTGTTGGGGGGTAGGGGCAGGGAACTCCAGGCCTCCTGCAGGTTTTACATGTGTCCTTGATCCAACACAGCTGGTTTAAATGTTAAACTACCTCCTCAACATGTCTTGAAGTTCTCCAGAGGCCTGGTAATGAACTAATCATTTGATTCAGGTGTGGACACCCAGGGTGAGATCTGAATCCTGCAAGACACCGGCCCTCGAGGACCAACGTTCCCTACCCCGTTGCAGGGTTTTCCTGCTGTAACGGCCAATTTAAGGGCGTAGCAAAGCATCTTAATCAGAGTCCAGTACCTTTAAGGAAATCCTTAGAGACAATGCACAAAGTCTTCCTGCTGCTCCAGATGGCATCTCTGATGTTTGAAAGGTGATCCTCACCTGGCAGGAAGTCTCGGGCCTCGAAACAACCGTGAAAAAGATTCTCTTCTGAAAACTGGTTATCCAGCTTCTTTAGTAAAGCCGCCTCCACCCACCGGTAGTCCCTGTTGCTAAAACAGATAAACACATCATACCTCATCTCATCCTCAAGAGGCATCAGTTTGGGGCCCTTGAGAACCCTGCTGATGATTTTTTTGTAGATGATGAATATTTGTCCCCGGAGACGAGCGTAAATGATTCCAGTAAGAAGGACAGTAATGATGAGTGAGGCAGAGAAAAGGAAGACAGCAAACTTTAGACCTCGGACTGCCTGTTCGGGATCCGTCTCACATGGTTCGATGATTGTGGAGTAATTCAGCAGAGGAAGGCCCTGGAAAGCAGCTGGAAACTCGCATCTTAAGTCTTCAATTGGGCTCAAAAACGTGACATTAGTCGTGTTCAGCCACTCCAGGAAGTTCCCCAGATTGCAGTCACAGTGAAAGCGAGTTGCTGACAGACTGAGAACGCTGAGAGACTGAAATGTCATAGGGTCGGGGGAGGCTAGGAAGTTGTTTGAAATATGGAGCCATTTCAGGCTGATGGGAAAAACATCTGGCTGCAAAAAGGTCAAGGCATTGTACGAAAGGTCCATCTCTATGATTGAGCTGAGACCCCTGAAAATCCCATTTGGGAGGGTCGTGAGGGAATTAAGGCTTATATTTAAACCAATCAGATTTTCAAGATGGTCAAACAAGTCGAGGCACTGCCCCTGTGCCCAAATTATCTGCAGGGAACTATCATGAAGATCTAGCACTTTCAAACTGTTATTAAGAGGTTCAAACACATAGTTTCGTTTGCACCACTTGATGATGTTGTCACCATAGAATAAAACCTGAAGTCTCGGGAGATAAGTTAAAATGAAAAATACATCCTCCATATTTGTTAATCTATTTTCTGAAATATCGACATGGATACTGTTCATGGCCAAGTCATCAATTTCATTGAGAGATTTCAACTTATTATCTCTCAAAAGCAGATATTCTAAATTGGGCAGTGGTGTAGGAAAACCCAGTTCTCGCAGTGAGTTTGATGTCAGATCTAAATACTGTAAGTTCGGGAGACCGCTGAATGCTTTGTATCCCAAAATACCAATGTGGTTTTGGGACAAGTCCAACATCCTAAGTTCTCTCAGATTGGTGAATGTGTGAGAATGTATTTGTCCTAAAAGGTTGGATGACAGGTTGAGTATTAATAAATGATCCTGAAGACCATCAAAAGCATTTCTGTTAATCTGATTGATTCTGTTCAGTGAAATATCGATCTTCTTTGCATCTCTTAGATGACTGAACACGGCACTCTGCAAAGCAAATATGCGGTTGTTAGAGACATCCAAAATTTTCACTGCACTGTTTTTCAGGCCTTCAAATGTATTTTTATCTGGATCTGGGAAGTTCTCATGGGAAAACCCTTTGCCCAAGATTCCAGAGTATTTAAGATGAGAAATCGGAGTCCCTTCTATTGCTTGGAAAAACTGCCTTGTTTCGTTCACATGTAGTCCACTGGAGGTTAAATCGAGAACATCGAAGGCTAGCTCTTTGAAAGGGTTCCCACAGTTTCCCCATTCATCGTTGTGGTATAACTTGTTGGAGTCCAAGCTCAGGAGCTCAAACCTTTTACCCCTGAAACTTACAAGATCTTCTTCACAGATGTTTTCGATCTTATTTAGTTTGAGTTTCAGCTGCGTGAACTTTGTGAATCTTGAAAAGAACAGACCTGGCCGCAGTCTCGTTATGTTGTTGAACGAGAGATCAAGCACTTCCAAGGACAAAAGTGGTTCCAGATAGCTTTCTGATAGTATGGAGTCTGTCAGACTGCAATAATACAAAGACAGGTTTTGTAAATTGAACAGTCCTGCAAACGCCCTCGGCTGCAGTTTGAGGCCCAGATTAGAGCCGAGCATCAATTCTGTTAACTTCCTCTGCCCGAGGAAAGCGTTGTTCCATATGACGAGTGTTTGATCCTGACCTTCAAGATTTAATACTTGCAACTCCTTAAAGTCTCTGAGCGAGGTGCTGTTAACCTCACTGATGTGGTTACTCTGCAGATAGAGGTGGGTGATGTTGTGGGGCAGAGCAGGAACCCAGGAGTGGTTCTGAAAGCCACACCAGGCTCTTTGTCCCCTCAAACGGCATGTTTGGTAGGACACTGTTACCTGCAGATGGGAGGGTTACATAACAAAAGTCAAGCGATGAAGTCAGCAAAATTACATGTGAAGTTATTTAGTAAGAAAAAAAATCAAAGTCAAAGCTTCATTTTCATGATTAGTAGCCCCCCCCCAATGTCTTTATGTTTAACTTCCATAGGGCTGCCACAAACGATTATTTTGATAGTCGACTAGTCACCGATTATTTTTGCGATTAGTCGACTAATCAGATCATCATCCATTGGACGTAAAATGTTCAGCTTATTGCACCAGCAGCATCTGCTCTTATATAACTATCATTAGCTTACAGCTTTAAGTGTTTAAGGTCTGTGCTAACTAACAATAAAGACAAGATGATAGTTTTAACGGCAGCTGGCATCCTTGTACATGCAGTGCTGCCATCTTCTGTTTCAGTCCGTTATTACACTCTTAAATCCTACTACTTATTCCTGCGTCTTTTGGGATCTTACAAAGCTTCAAACGACGCGTCGACTATTAAATCAGTCGTCGACGAGTTTGATAGTCAACTAATCGTGGCAGCCCTACTTCCATGGAAGCAGACGTACCTGGTCTTCAGCAACAGTTATCCAGGCCCTCTGGAAGTCTGATGGAGTGTTTCTCTGGCTACTGTTTCACTCATTTTCAGTATGGTACTTACACCTTTACATGTTTGTTTTTGTCATTTGTAACGCCACTTAACACTGGCCTAAAGACAAAAAGGTGCCTAACCCAAGGGCTGAACATGTGTCGTCTCTATTTAGCAAAGAACCCATTTTAGGCACTTTTATACCAGCAACCTGTAGCAAACACATCATTTGTTCCAATTTCTGAAGTTAAATGCATCAAAAATGCCAAAGTAACAGGTTTGACTAGCAAAAAAATATTTTCCCATCATGGTTGACAGTGTGTCCTTTGACAAATGAAGGGGAAAAGAAGAAATCCCACTTCAAAAATCCCACAATGACCTGACAGAACCTGAGACATGCGTCTGAGCCTTCAGTTGACCCATCTGTTCACTGAGGCCTCATCAGAAGTGGTCTCAGTGGAAAGGTCAGATTTTAGACCCACCATGAATTTGGATAGTGAACGGTGTCCATTTTCTGCATGACAGTTATCCCAAACACGCTGCTAGTGCCCATGCAGTAAAAACATACATGGATAGAAAAGCAGAACACCATCAGTCATGGTTGACCTCCCCAGAGCTCAGACCTCAACATTGTTGAAGCAATGTGGGGTGATCTTGTCAGAGAAGAGAACAAAGAAAAGTTTTGAATGTCATTCAAGAAGCCTGGAGAACTGTTCCTGAAGACTGCTTAAAAAATCCAAAACGAACTTAATAGATGGATTTGAGATTAGTCCTTATATTCTGTGGTCCTCTGTTATGTTTGAAACCAATCAGCTGAATGAAGTCAGTATTATAAACATACCTTTAGGCACAAACCAGTGCAAATCAACTGAAGGACCAGCATCCACATCCTGTACAGACACAAACAGCAAAGCTTTGGTAATTGTGTTTCATTGTTGCAGCTGAACAAATATGTGAAATATTCAATAAAGTGAGAACTCACTCGCACAAGTGTTTAACACAGCAATTCATATCTGATGTCACCTCGGACTACAAAGCTCCTTTGACTAGCTGGCGTGTTTGCCTTGAGCTAATATGGACCGGACAGCAGGATGTGTCATATTGCAGTGATTGATCCTGGTGCTACACCTGCCACTCCCGATACAAGTTCATTAACGTTTGTGCCTGTTTAAACCTCGGATTACATTTCTGTCTCAATTCAGTCCAAAAGTTGCCGTTATCTATCGCTGGGAGTAGATTTTTGTTCAAGTTAAGTACAACCTGTGAAGCCTGGCTGAAACATTTGAGCCCTAAACAAAAAACGGGCCTGGTAGTTTCTGTAACTGTGAAAGTTCCCAAAATGTCCCAGTGCAGCATCCCACCAGAAGAGGAACCGAAGAAGGTGCCCAAAGGCAGAGACAGCACAAAAACTGCTGTGCGTCCAGTTTAGTTACCTACTAACTTAGTTGTGGTGAAACCCAGCTAACAGTTACTGGCTGCACCCAGCGGAGACTCAGCAACGTGTTTATTCCTCAGTCCTGAATCTGCAAACCCTTCAGACACACTGGGGTTTACGACTTAAGCACAATAAATAGAATCAACAACTCTTAATTTGTTCTGTCCACACGTTTGAAGTTCATTAAACACTAAATCCTTTCTGTGCATGTAAGATAACCTTGCAGTTGCGTTAAGGTGAAAACATGGTAGGAGTTTGAACGTCAGCGCAACTCTGCGCACAAATACCAGGTTTGGAAATATTTAACCCCCTGGTGACGCCCCGGGGTTTAGCGAGGTGGCAAGCACGAACGAGATTTGACATTTTGTTTGTTGATAACAAAGCTGTAGTCTGTGAAATGTCAGTATCTTCATTTCAGCACAGCCTACTGAAGGTTTGAAGCTTTTACGTTTCATTACTTGTTAGCCGTTTCCTGCCGTTTGCCTGCAGGTGGACCCGATCTTCGGAGTCGTTGTCGGTTTGTTTACAGTCAGAGCTCTCATTACACCGACGGGCTTATTGGACAGTACGACTATTTTTTAAGAACGTTGTCTGGTTGGTTCAGAGTCGGAAACGATAAACAACTTTCGGAAACACAAACACACTTTTAACCTTCTCCTTGGACGGTCGGGGAGGCGGGCGAGGCGATACCGAGCTTTCTCCTCACAAATGAGCAAATGATAACAAAGTGAAAATCTTACGTGTACCGGACGAAGCGACAAACCGGTTCAGACCTGCAGACCTGCACCACCTCGCTCTGTCTGCACTGGGAGTTGATCTTCTCCAGTCTGACAAAACGACAATTTCGCAATTTCCCAAGTGAACAAATCTCTGCTTCCTTTGTAAACTTTGCCTTCTTTTACGCAACACTGCTATGCTCTGCTCTGGTTATATTAGTATGTAACATGTATGTATTTAAATATAAAAGGCTACTGATCACACTTACTGTGAAAAATCTCAGCCAGTTTATGTTAAAATTTATGTCATTTTGAATGCAGAAAAGTACCACCAGAGTACCACCCGAGTACCACCCGAGTACCACCCAAGTACCACCCGAGCCCGTCAAAGGACCTGTACCAGAGTGTCTGCCATACTGTAGTATTTCCTTCTCCTTTATTTACATCCTTGTCTGCCCACTCATGATGCAGCATGCATATGTAGTCAGTTATGGCCACAAACTCGCCTTTGATGACCAAATTGCATTTATCAGTAAATCTGAGCAAACATTTGTCCTCGAGCAGCATTGTAGGGTCTTTGTCTTACAGTATAAAGTGATGTGAGACAAGATTTCCTGACTGTAAAGCGATGCGCAGACGACCAGAGCCCTCTCAGCACAAGGCTGACACGCCTTTCCCCATTTAGGAAATAAAACGTTAAAATAAAAACAGATTAAGACAGATTATACCAAACAGATAAAAGTGCATTTACTGAATTGGTTTTGTCTGCTCTTGTTTTTCAGAGACAATGAGGAACAAAGTACGATCTGATCCCTGTGTTCATTTTCTATATACTGTTAATCCCCACACACTCAAAATTCAAAATCATCCTCAGTGTCACCTTTCTCTCCTCTGTGCTCGAGGTGCTCTCAGTTGTTTAAGTAGAGGAGAAAAGTTGGGCATATTTCACAACCATTAAATGTCCAAGAAACCTCTGAAAATGAGGTCGCAGTTACTTCCCGAGCAAAAACTTCTGCTTTTGCTCACAGACCCTAAATTTCAGCAAATAACACAATAATATGGCAAAACTGTAAAGTGACACAAGAAGCGAGGGAAAGAGCCACATGGTCCATCTGAGCTTTGAGGAAAATAAACTTTTCCTTGGATGTTCGTAGTTTTCCATACAGAACTTCAGCAGTCGGGTTGAACGTGTCACTGTGTTGTTCCTCCGTCTCATTGAGCCTGCTCAGGATTTATTCAGAGGAAATGAGGAACAACAAGACATTTTCATAGGTCGGGGGTTTGTGTTGCTCTTGTTGACTTTAAGCTAAAAAAAAAATCAAATGAATAATTTAAAAAAAAAATGAATGTAACAGCCCTACACACCAGCACTGTGCTTATTTTATATGTTAATCATAATATATTTATAATGGAATAACATGAGCTCAACAGTGTCACAAAAGTACAAACCCTTAAGTAGAAGTACAAATACTGTTAAAAGTTGAGGTACTGATTGAAATTCTTTACTCGGGTAAAAGTAAAAAAGTACAGGCTCTGAAATGTACTCAAGAAAGTATAAAGTAGCTCTTTGGAGGATGTTTCTATTTCTCTGTGCTATATTAACATGATGATATCAGTAGATCGAATACAAACTTTAGTCTAACTTTTTATTCTAATTATGCTCAGCTTGAATCAGAAGAAAAAGAAGGAACATAAACATTTAGCCCACATGGAGAGGGTGGAAAATGTGTACAGTCAGAGGTTAAAGTGGATTCAGCAGATGTGGGAACATTAAAATTGGCTGTAATGCTGAAAAGACTCGTAACTCACAATAATTTCTATTGCTTGTTGTCTATTGTGTACAGGCTGCGAGCAGCTGACCTGCTGCTGTTTTGGAGGTACACAACTTCAACCAGATGTCTCATGAGTCGTCCGTCCGCTACACTGTTCATGCTGTCTTTTTTCTAGATGGTATAAAGTTGGAATTTAGTCAGATGATCTCAGTATCATCAGTCATATGAGTCTCCGCTAAATTTGATGTAAGCTAACTGTGAGCATGAAACCACTGTGCACCACTCACACACTGTTCTTTACTTCCATCACAGTGCACCAGTCTAACCTGTTTATCCTGCACTAACCTGCAGAGCATTTTCTTGCAGTCTTTAAATGCCACAGCAATCTGCCTCAGTTTGATTTGCAGCAGTTTTCACAATATGAAAAAAGATAATGTCACATGTACAGACCCAACATCTGATTTAGAAACGTGAGGACGTGTAAGCTTAAAATCCAGTTTATTAAATCCCATTGAGCAGTCTTTACCTTTAAATGGAACCTCTTCTTTCTCTTACGTCTTTCTCCATCTCTGAGTGAAGTTAACTCTCTTTTCTCTCGCTGGGAAAAACAGCAGCTGCACCTTTAGCAACACACCGAAAAAAAACAACTTTTAACCACTGACTTTGGATCTGTGTTTATGTGACATGATGACGCTAACAGTAATGTATTAAAGCAAAAATAATGAGCCTGTTTTGGAAATGTAAGACGTAAGCGCAGATATTGGTTTAAAAAGGTTAAGTAGTGCATGTTCTGTCAGTCCTTAGAATCGTCATCTCTCCATCCTCCCATGCAGCCTCCCTGTGTGTGACTCATCAGTGGAAACACTGGGTCCTTCCTGAGGCTGTAAGTCACCCTTTTCTCCACATGATGGCGCAGTCAAGCTGTGCGTGAAAACAAGGAAGGCCATTGCGCTTCTTTTCACCACTGCCAAGACAAACGTCTTAACCAATCAATAAGATTTCCAGTAATTTCTGTCAGTTTATTTTTGTATTTTTGGTAAAACCCAACAGTAAATGTTTATGTTTTATATCATTTACTTATAAGGTGGCGAGTTTCAAACTTTTCTCCCTCCACATCATGTAGATGTTGTTCATATAAATAATCACACGTCTCTGTATGATTAAAGTGTCAATCATTCATTGTCTAAGAAATAAGCACACAGACACACATCAGCACTGAGTGTATTACGTGATGAAGAACTGCTTTAAATAAAATATTCAACACTTACTTTTCATCACGGTGGCATATTTACAAGTGTGACATGCTGCTAAATATTTATGCAGTTATTTATCTGACATTGACGCTTAATGTAGTCCCTAAAAACACTAAGCTTGACTTCACAAGTTAATGCTTCAGATGTTATAATACCGATACTGGAAACATGAGTATGTTGATCCAGTGTTCTTGTTGGGAAACTAACTGATTAATGCGTTTGTAAAGTTTATTAGGAAAATATGACCATGAGCACTTTCATCAGTGAGTTCATTTAAACAGGCCAAACACGTATTTCAGGAAAGAATGGTGAAATTCTTTTTATTTGTACGCTTCCTTAGAAAAATTCATGTGGGGTTGCATTCAATTCTCAAGAACACAATTTATCACAGTTTGTCAAATTTCCACTGAAATGACCCTTCTCCTCTCTCCCCTCCTTCTGTGGCACTCTTCTTTATCTGCCTCTGAGATTGTTCCCATTCGATATTGGTATCAAGCGTGAGCTCATGCTGGCTTATAGTGAAGGTATTTCCGGTCATTATATTTAGTAAATGACGTCTGTGCTGTATGTTTAACTTCTGCTTCCTGATGGCAGCTTTGTGCAAAATCTGTTTACAGTAAGATCAAACAAGATCTGCAAACTATTTCCAACAAGGCAAAAGTGTTTAAGGTTTTGCCAACAAAGTGAGCGCTTTAGTGGTGGGTTCAGGGTGCTGTGCATTCAAAGGGTGACATGCTGTTTTCTATCGATTCAGAAAAAAGGTTAAAGGGAAAAAGAAGCCCCAGACATTTACATTTTCAAAAACATTTATTAATATTTTAGAATTTGAAGTCCTTTGTCATCACATGGCATCTGTACCTGAATGGTAAATAAAATGAAGGCACGTCCTTCCACAGAGAAAACTGTTTGTAACATGTTTCTGCAGTGCTGTGGACACTTTCCCTTCCACTGTAATGCGATCTGCAAAGTTCCGGTAAACCTCTCACTGTACATTCACGTGTCATGCTTAAACCGTCTCTGCTTGGCTCAGCTTTCACCTTTCACTTGATGGAAGCCGTGATCCTCCTCAGCTTTGAGCGCAATGCTGTTCGTCCTCTTCGCCCTGCGTCTGATGGCGCGATCCGCCAGAAAGACCACGAGAACGATAAAAACCGCAGTGAAAATTATTATTCCCACCAGACCCCCCGGTGGCACCCCCGAGGGCTGCCTGGTTGGATGTGGATGTGGTACCGATACGGTAGTGGGAGTGTCCGGTGCTGATGTCCCTTCAGAGCTGTCGTCGTCGCTTTCTACGCACTTGTATCCGTCGACTAGCATATACCCCAGAGAGCAGAAGCACGCGTAGCTCCCGAATGTGTTCTTACATTTCTGTTCGCAGTAAAGGTCACTGCATTCGTCCATGTCTATGCACACCGTACTGTCCCCTCTCTCCTCGGCTACGTAGCCGTCGGGACAGTAACACTGGAACTTGTTGTTCGGGTCACACTCCGCGGGGCATTCCTCCTTCCCGCAGAACAGTTTGCACTTATTCGCTGACTTCGGGTCCACTCGGTATCCATCATAACACGAGCACTTGTAGCTACCGTGGGTGTTGTGACACTCATGCTCACACGGACCAGACACGCACTCGTTCACGTCGACGCACTGGCCGTTGCGCGTGGAGTATCCCGCCTTGCAGATGCATTCGAACCCGCCGGGTTTGTTGACGCACACGGAGTTCTCCCCGGGACACTGCCGCGGGTCGTTGCAGTCATTGAAGTCCACGCACGACCTGCCGTCACCCGCCAGCTGAAAGCCACGATCACACGTGCACGCGTAGGAGTCTCCGTTCATGTAGCAGATCTGCTCGCAGCTCAGCGCCTGACACGGGTCTCCCACGAGCTGCTGCTCGCAGGTCACTTTATTCGCAGGATTCAGGGTTTTTCCTGGTGGGCAGTAGCACGAAGGCATCTTGTTAGGACTCTCCGTGCATTTATACTCACACCCGCCTTCGTCCATCTCGCAGTTCCAGGGCGCCGGCTGCCACATCTCTGCGTAGCACAGATATTTGGTCTTAGATGGCATCCGGAGAGCGATGCTTCCAGGAGGCGCAGGCAGCAAGTCTCTGACCACAAACCCATACGGAGTGGTGTACGTGACAGTCTCTCCCGGTGACTCTTGACTTTGGCACATGCCGACACTGGTGTACTCACAGAGAAACCCGGCGGCCTGATCCTGGCACGGTTTCTGGCTCCACCTGAAGTCCAATTCTGGGGAAACTGAGACGCAGCGCTGAGAAGAGCAGTTCATGTTAAAGTCTGGCAGCCAGTTTGAGAAGTCACTCTCGTCGTCTTTAGTCACCCACTCGTAGCCCCTCAGCCTGGCAACGGGGTCTGGGCAGCGGAGGGGTCGATGTAAACCGATCCAGAAGCTCCCCGTAAAGTTTCCCAGCAGAACAGAAAGAACATCGTGTGCTACAGATGAGCGCACGGTCATTAGTTGCCCCTCTTGATCTCTACATTCATTTTGCGCTCTGCTGAAATCGCTCGGGTCTCTGAACACAGCAAAACACTGGTTATCGATGCAGTACCCCCCACTCGGGGCTATACTGCCGACTCTGTTCACCAGCGAGAGCAGCAGCAGGACCGCCAACTGCAGGACAGGATTCATGTTTGACCCTCGGCTTTCTTCCTTTAAGTTTATGTGCGTCCCGTCAGATTATGGGCCTGTTTGTGTGAAGAACCCTTTAGCTGGCATTTATAGCCCATCAACTCCATGTCAGTGTCCCGAAAGAGGAAGGAAGTCGCTCTTAATCAGCCGGCTGCTCCTCACTTTGTCCCTCAGCTCTCTGAGCGGGCTAGACCACATCCCCACAATTACGCACGGCTTTTACGCACGTACGCAGCGAAGCCGTGTGCACGTAAGGGGGGGAGGCGGAGGTCATCAAACGGACCCCTCCCCTCTGTTTGCAATAAACCCCTCCCATCTCTCTCTATGTGGCATGTCTGTTATCGAGCAGCATTTCTGGGGTCAGATGTTTTACCCCCGCTTCCCTCAGGTTTTACAGTTTTACATGGTTTTTGGGCATTCAAGTATTACTATCTCACAACAAGGTAGAATAGGAACGAAATTAACAGCTGTAAAGTGTTGACTTTCATGTAAGACAAGCGATAAGCCTTTTAAAAGCAGAATTCCATGCATTTTTGCTTGCCTCTTGTGTGCTCTATGATGCCCTCAGAGCAGGCCCAAGTTGTTATGGAGCCCTGCGCATAGTTTGATTTGAAGCTTTTCCGTCAGCTTGACCTAGGAGGATATATCAAATGCAATTTAACACAAACCTAAAAATCATTTTCTTATATAAAAAGGATAGAAAAGAAAAGTTGAAAGACCAACTATTTGTAGGGAAAAGAGCTCTTCACTTTTCAGAGATGGAATAAAAACAACAAATATGTCATATTAAAAGCAAATGCATTTGTTAGTGATAAACATATCTCACAGGCTAGTCCATATTAATCTGTAGGAAACACTCACCCGTTGTTCTGTCGTCATGGGGGAGCATCACGGGCGGCTTTGTTGTTGGTTGTTGCTTCCAAATATTCTGACAGTGCTCCTGGGGACACGTGATGGAATGAGTTGAGTTTATTTTAAAAACTTATAGCAAACTGTAACTTTTGCAAGGGAACAAGACCCAAAGCCGATCTTACTAAACGAAACAGCTAACTGAAGTGTAATAACTGCAAAGAAATCAGAGGTTCTGTTTCATAAAGACACAATGCAGGTTACACAGCACGTCAGTGGGATATGCTGAGGATCAGAGGACATCCCTCTGAGTATGTGACTAGCATAGTCCGTCGGGTCAGGAATCCATGGTTACATTTCACTCCAGAAAAAGCAGCCATATCAGTAACAACTTATCCTTATAGTATAACTTTAGCTAATGCAGCGTTTTTACATTACAGGATGAAAGCATCAGGACTAACACGACTCACACATGAACATCACATCTGTTCTCTGGTCTGGTTGTTTGAGTCTTATCTTTAATAAGGTCATAAAATACAGTAATTGTTGATGGAAACACCTTCATCTCCCTGCATTTGTTCCCTTTGTGTTATCTTTTGCTTTTCACACCCAGAGGCGTACATCTTTTTTTCCCACTGCTAACACTGACAATGTGTCTGAGTGTGACCCCAGCTCTGACACAGACAGCAGAAATGGTAAAACCGGAGAAATGATAACACATTTATCAAAATATTTCACTTTGGTTTGCATGATCACTGATTTATCACATGCAAAACAACTGCACATTTATCAGCCCGTCTTGTGTGACTTTAAAGGACTCTTGAGTTCCCCAAAGAGTCCTGTGGCCTTTGGACCAGTGCGAATGTTTACTGTTACGTCTTATTAGTATTTTAAGTATTCTATCTATTTTATTTATTGAATTTTATTGTTTTATTTATATTTTGATATTGCAAAGATGATGCAATGATCGGGGACCATTCTTAATTTCGTTGTACCTGTGACAATGACAATAAAGTTTCTGATTCTGAAAGTTAACATTTTAATAGCAATTTAAACAGTGTTACACCAGGTTTGTCTACAAAAATAAAATATAAGGAAAGAAAAAAGGGTAATATTGACTCCAACAATAGCAAAGACAGTAACAAGTGAAAGCTAACAGTTGTGGTATTTTATATACAAAACCATAGCAGCACAGATTTACATTCATGATCAGTCCAGATCGCTCTGTTACACAGCAAAGACCATCACATTCACCCTCGTATGATGCGAGCATTAGGATTGCACAGACATGACAAAATGTTTGTTTCTGATAAAGAGTCTCCATTAGAATGCTATTTCTTCCCTCTTTTATTCAAGGGAATTTTTTATGGACATTCCTCATGTCCATAAAAAAATAAACATAAAAATCAAAGTTTTACATCCAGTGAAATCATACATAAAGAGAATTTGGCGATTCACTCCAAAATGTCTTTTGTTTGGGGCCAATTTTGTGAGCAAACGTCAGTCACGGTAAGTCGTTAGGTCTACAAAGAGCAACTGTAGCTCCTTCAAAACTGGAGAGTGACCAAGGTTTGACTTCTCAAATACAAAAGCATTTTCTTGAGGACCAATAAGATGGCTCGCCTTGTAACAGCATGGCTGTTATGAGCTTGTTTGGAATGGGACTCTAGCTATAGATAAACTTTTCAGTACCATTACTGTTAGATTTCTTCCATCATATCATTTATACATTACTGCAAACTGTCGGTAATTTATAGAGTTCCACCTGTGCCAAAAGGATGTCTGAATATATCCGATGAAGCATTTGTTTCTGCTTTTCAACTCTGAATCGAATCCTGAATTAATCTGTGCCACACTAACAAACAGACTGTGCGTGATGATTTTTCACATCACATCTTCCATTTTTTGCAGTTCCATCTAATATTTAATTGAAAACTATTTTTTGTATATTTTTCTGGATTTTGTTTGAGCAGTTTTTGAAAAATGAATTCTTATTCTGGATATTATTACATACAATTCAAAAATATGTTTTCTTTACAAATAACTAGAAGAAAGACATCGAGCGGCACATCGGCCCACGTGCTGAACAATGCAGGAGAGCAAAATCAAAGGTGCTGTGAGGGTTAACACAAACAGCCTGCACTCGAAAACAATTTTGCTCAAAGTAAAGAAATAAATGACTCCACGCTTGTCAGCATACTTTTGGCACTAATGACACCCCATAAACTGAGCGGAATGTGTTTTAGTGGAATACAAACCACAGGCCAGTAGCTGTGCTCCCATGTAGAAAACATTCAGATGAATATCTTAATGTGCAGTGTCTATACTCTAAATTTACAATGTGCCATTTATTGCAGTGCCGGGCTATGAAGCCTCTCCGCGGAGAAACCAGTGCGTTTGACTTGAAATGAAGGCTCAGCTGTGCGACTTCACAGGTTCAGTTCCAGTTTCTGGGTGTCACTTTTAATCTGCTTGTCGAAGGACAGCCTCTTGTAGGTCTCCGTGGTCACCTGCTGCAGATAGAAGATATCTATATCTGGTCGTTTGAGGGGCGGGAGTTCAAGACTGCCGCAACGTCTAAAGATGTTCCGGAGCAGGAAAACCAGCAGCACGCCAACCAGCACGATGAACACGGCGATGCCCAGGACGCTGCCGGTTTTGATGTAGGGGGGCAGTGAAGCCGGGTGAGCGCTGGCCGGCTCGCCGGTTGATGTGACGCTCAAAGAGGAAGAGCCCGAGCCATCGTCTTCTTCCTCCTGCTCCTCGGACAGGCTCACGCACTTGCCATTGTCCCGCAGCTGGAAGCCTTCGCGGCAGCGACACCTGTAGCCACCGAAGAGGTTTTCACACACGTGGTCACACATACGCTGAGCCTCGCATTCGTCTATATCTGTGCAAAAGTCTGTGCCGTTCACGTTGTCTTTAACGTAGCCATCGAGGCATTCGCAGCTGCCTCCTCCCGAGCTGCATCTGCAGTCCCTCTCGGTGCAGTTCAGCGTACACTTGGTGGGGTCTGACGGTGACACCATGAAGTCGCGCCGGCACACACACCGGTACTCCCCGTTGACTTTATCGCAGTAGTGCTCGCAGGATTTACAGATCGTCAGATTTAGGCACTCTCCCTCCTCCAAAACGAAGCCGTGAAATCTGCACCTGCACTCATGGCCCTCGCGCGTACTCACACACACCTGATCAGCTGTGCATGCCTTACATTCATCCACCTCCACGGAGCTCTTGCCCCCCTGGCCCAGGTCGTGGCCTTTGTTGCTGTCACCCTCCCGCTGGGATCCTTGCGCGCACTCTGTGCACGGGCCCGTGGAGCAAGAGACGTTATTACGATGGAGGACGAGCCCGGTGGGACAGACGCAGCCGGGTACTGAAGAATCGCACTTGTGCTCGCAGCCTCCACCCATCACCTCACAGTTCCACGGAGCTTTCTGCCACTTGTCGTAGCACAAGTGCTTCGAGTCTGGATGTTTACCGCCGAGCTTTCGTTCTTCAGCCGTGGTTCCCAGTGGAAAAACCTCCGAATAACCGAACTTAAAGGTCTCTAAGGTGTAGTTCACAGCTGTGCCTGGCGACGCATTCAATGGACTGCAATACTTGGTCATCTGGCAGAAAAATCCGTCCAGCTTTTGGTCTTGACACGGAACCCTCACCACTGTGGCGCCCTGTCCCTCCATCACGGAGACCACGGGGCAGTTCAGACCCGTCTCGTCGCTGCTGTGGAGCCAGTATTTACCGCGGAGTCCGGTTAGAGTCGTTAAATCACCGAGTTCTTCCTTGGAGTTGAACTGATATAAGCTTCCAGAATATTTCTCACACGTTTCTTTGGCGCCTCGAAGATCCACGGGAACGTCGAAAGCACACGATGCCTTCTTGGAACAACGTACGAGCGGAGAGAGGAGCGCTTCCTGCAGCCCGCAGAGGAAAAGCAGAGAGAAAAGAAGCATTCTTGGAATCATGGTGCCGATCTTAAAAAGGCCTCCGATTGTTACCCCTGTGGCGTGAACGTCTGTGTTTGACGATCTGAAGCTGATACAGCGGCTGAAAGCTGAGCATAGTCCCCATTTATAAAAGCGTCGACCTGTTTTTTCTCTTCTCCTTCGTTTTTTCCTCCCCCCAGGTCCAGGCGAGGAAGGAAGTTCAGTCGGGTCCGTCTGATTGCTCAGCCCCCACGCTCTCCAAAAGGCTTGCCCATCAAAACACGCGCTCACGAACTTTGAATAAGGTGAATTAAACCCGCACTCCCCCCCCGGTGACTCTTCTCTCTCTAGATTTGTACAAAAACGGGAAGTTTAAATCTCTGAGACGACTCGAAAATCACATCACATGTTGTATTTGCGATTACGC